TTCTTTTTTTTTTTTTTTTTTGACTTTTATACTTTTTTTGCTGTGCTCTGAGGTCAGAAAGTTTACGGTACGAGCTCAGCATTTTCGGTGATATAAGTTAAATAAAACGACCATAAAAATGCTTTTTGGAAAGGCTGTGACCTCACTTCTAACGATGAGTGTTTCACTCTTTGATAATACTTCAGGTGCTTTTAAGGTGCTGCCGTTGTAATACTGAAAAGCATATGTTATATGTGCTGTCACCGTTTGTTTTCATATTAAGTTTATTCTAGGCAGTATTTTTGAAGTGTTATTTCAAGATTTTTTCTGGGGTTGTTGTTTTTGTGAAATGTTAGGTAAAAGCCAGAGTTATATTGTTTTGCAAATTTATCTTTTGATACAACTCAGATCTTGCAGGTGCTGTGTTAGCGATTGTGTCTGCTGATCATTTCTTCGTGAAGGAAAATTCAAGAGTATGTATAATCATGGATGCTAACATCACGGGGAAAATATATTACGAGACGGTATTTATTCTTTGTTTTAAAAGTGTTTGGTTAAAAAACTTATGAAGCTTTATTTTTTCATTTTGCAGTACTAAACGACTATCTATTACTGTTATTCGTTGTTATGCACTGTAAACCTGTAGTTGGATAGTTCTCTTTCTTAGAATTAAGATGTTCTCTTTCTTAGAATTAAGATGGTTTAATTTTAGATGAAGAATGAAACGAAGGATTATCAGTTCAATGTTACTACTGTTCGTGTCAGTGGACATTGTTTTGGTGGTGTAAAAACTGGTGAACAAACTCTGAACATAGAGTAAGTTTTATATTTTATTAATTTCTTTTTATTTTGGTTCAGAAACACTGGATGAAGCTAGATGAAACCGACTTCAATGTAACCTGAGAGCTGGCTTTTCAAAATCCTTGAGAGGGTGATGTTTTACTTAGTGAGTTTTTTTAATTGTTAGAGACGGTATTATTTGTAACTGCACATTATATTATTATTCACACTTTTTTAATAGGGGTGCTGTTGTTAGCTTCTTCATCTGTCATTTCTGGGGTACTGGCAGAAGGAATAGACTTGCTTCATGCGTATCACTTTCTGAAATATCTTTTTTCAAGTTGATTTACCATGGGGCATTATTTTACTTTTATAGGTTTTACCCGAATAACTTGAATAATCAGTCATGGCTGCCATGGAGCATGATGTTATCATTTTCACACGAGAAGTCTAAGAATTTTGTTTTAAATAAATACAGTCTTAATGCGGAACTTTATCCAGAATCATTTGATTCTAAGGGTATGTTATAATTTTTTTGCCAAGAGGTTTTTCCTTTCTGTGGTTAATCTTGGGTCTGGATATGAGTCTGTAATCTCGTAGCTGCCTAATTTTTTGTGCTGATTTCTTTTGGAGCATTACTGTGCCTTCTAAATATTTTCCACTTGTAATAATTTGTGCATTATGGTTATTTTTTCTGTCTAAATTTTTGTTTTAATTTGGTTCAGTTCTCCTTCATGAACTTTTTTAGAGACATCTGTGACATATGTGAAGAACGAAGAGGCTCAGCTAGACGTTAGTGCTGAAGGATCTAACGGTTTTCGCTGTTCTGGTTCTGTGCTCAGTCTTGACCACCAATCCACTTTGAATCTGAAGAATTTGCGTCTTGTTGCCTTCGCCAATTTGAATGGAACAGATTTTGTGAAAGAACAAGGTATGAAAAGCGCCTGGACTTTTTTTCTGATTTAATTCACCATTTTTTGTCGAAGCACTGCTAATTAGATGACGTTAGCATTTTCTCTTAGTAGTTTGGTTTTTTTTTTTTGTGATAAAACTTTTTTTGATTATTAGAGGGTAGTAATATCATTTTAGCAGCTACAGTAGAGAATGAAAAATATTATGTCTGGAGTACTCTATTTTTAGTTTTTGAACAATGCACTTTGGACGCCCGAACATCTGAGATAGTTCCCATCGTAGTTGGCGCGTGTTTGGCAATGCTAGTTATTGTTGTCCTAATAGCATATTTGATCGGTCGAGCTCGAGCAAAGCGTCAGGGATATGCATCTGTTTAACATTGTTTTTCTCATCGTTTTATTCATATTTCACTTCACACTTCATATTATTTCAATTTTTTCTAAAGGACCAGAAGATATTTTGTTGTATTTCTTTATCTTCTGTTTTAACTTTTGTCTTGTGAATTCCTGCAGAAAATGGTCCCTCGCAGTGTATGCTAAGAAAATAAGTTCTGTTCCATGGGTTTGCTCCTTATTGTTCTTAGATGACGGGTATTTGTTTAGCAAGACGTAATTAACGTGTTTATGGAGGGATTACTTGCTTTTTTTGCTTTTTTATGGTTTTTTCTTTTGAATCTCATCGTTAACGAGTTGCAGATGCAATTCAGGTAATGAGTGTTGATGATTTTACATTACTCTAATGATTAAACTGTGATGGGGGTTGAGAAATTTGTATATGTTGCATTTTTTTTGAACTGTACCTTCCTGTTTTGCTGGTTTTTTGACTACTACTAGCGCTTCCTTTATCATGGTCATGTGCCAGAGAACTGTGGTCTTTGTTCCGAGCCTCACGTTGTTGTGGTGAATTTGGCTCTTTTGATATACTTTTGTAATGTTGGTGACGTAAGTTCCGAAAAACCTTTTATACTGTTATAGTTTATGTGTTTGTGAAGTTTTCAGGTTGAATAAGAACTTTCTGCCGTGTTTTACAAGTATTTCGGTACATATCTTTTAGTTTGGGGAAGAGCTAGTGATGCGATGCATTGTTACTGTACTGGAATTTCGTGACTGCACGAGTTCTTTTTTTTAAATTAACGGTTTTAAAAATTAATCAAAATTAGCTGCATGAGTGATTTTTACGTTGATCTGGACTTTTAGGCAGTAGCTTTTTGTTTGTGGGACGTTATTCCTTAGTGTTGTTTGGAGTACTGCCTCTCTGAGTCGGAAGTTTATAAGGTTTGGGAGAGATGGCTGGGAGGATGTTGGAGGGAGCGGGGAAGGGGTATAAGTACATGACCTTTGTTGCCATGGCTGGTATAATACGATTTTGGGTTTTGGTAAAGTTTTTTGCTGGTGATAGTGTTTTTAATGGCCTGCCGATGTGAAGAAGTCTTGTGATTGAGGGGAGGTTGTAGCGGAAACTGCAGCTGTACAGCACGTGACCGGTTGCTGTTGGTGAGAGATGTTATCTACTTGCTCGGACCGATAGCTGCTATTGGTTGTATCTCATTCATATTCGGACGTACTGACGGTTGGAGCACTTTTGAGATATTTAATATGGTGTTAAGTCTCAAATACTGGTGGCACTTTCAGTGACATTTCGCTTCAGTAATGTCTAGATTTCAAGTGTTTTTTTATGCTTTTTTTTGAGGGGGAGGGGATTTGGCAGTTTTTTAAAGTTGCGTTAAAACAGTTTTTTCTTGTGCAGTAGCGGTATTATAAAAAACAATTGATAAGACACGGTGGGAGGTCAGTTAGAATGGTTACGATGAAGACGACTTTAAATTTGTCTTCTGTTTTTGTGTTCCTGAGGGGAAGTCGAACTTTGGCGGATATCAGTGACCGTAAGATCAAATTTCTAAGGATGTTTTTTTTTTCAGTGTTCTTTCAGGGTTTTTTTGAGGAGCGTCACTCGAATGTTTGAAGCTACCGATAATGAAAGTGCTTATGTTGGCTATGCGATCTTATAGGTGTGGTTTGCTTGGTAGCCGAATTAATCTTTTCAAATGTGTTCGGCGGTTGTATTCGAAACACTCCGTATCCTTACGTGGAGCTTCGGATTCTCAAATTGTCTTTGAGACCGGCCATGTAGCTCGTTTTGCGAGCGGAGCTGTTGTCGTTTCCCAGGGCGACAATGCAGTAAGCAGTTCTGATCCTGAATTAATTCGCTAAGTTTAATGCAAGAATTTAGTCATCTAGACTTTATATTTTTGGCTTTTTTAAGATTCCTTGTTGTGCTTTTTGGTGGCAGAAGAGCTTAATGCTTTTTTCGTTCAGGTTTTAGCAACTGTTGTCGGTAAAAGGGGGACAGGAAGTAATTCAGGGTTTGTTTCACTTTCCGTTGATTTTCGACAGAGTGCAGCAGCTGTCGGTCGGATACCGCTGAATTATTTACGTAGAGAGTTGAAGCGGTCGGATGCCGATATCCTTATTTCTCGAGCTATTGATCGATCTTTACGACCACTTTTTGCAAAGGAATTTGATGGTGAAGCGCAGGTTTAGTTCGTTCTTGAATAAAAAGTGAAGTCTGGTCATCTAATTCTTATATTTATTATATTTCTCAAAGTCAAATTTTTGTAGCTGTATTTTATCAAAGGGTTTTTATAGGTAATTTGTAAACCACTGTCGCTATCGGATGATGGAGACCCTCTAATATTAGGGCTGAATGCTGCGTCGGCTGCTCTAGCAGTTTCAAATGTGCCTTGGGATGGGCCAGTTGCTGCGGTTCGTGTGGGACTCATTGATAATCAGGTAATTTTTCTACTTCTATATCGTTTGGTAAATACTTATTGTATCGAGTAAAATTTTAAAAAATTCTACTTAATAACTGTTTTGTATAAGTTATTTTCAATTCAGATAACCTTGTTGTATGACGCAAATAAAAGTATTTGTTGGACTTTTTTTTTTCAAGTCATTAGGAAGTTTTTATGATTTTGTCAGGCTCATGGACACATGACAGTTTATTTTAAACTAAGTTTTTTCTTAGATTATTATTAATCCAAGTTTGGCAGACCTCAAGCAATCTTCGTTGGATATGGTTGTAACAGGTGACAAGAGCGGAACTCGCGTTGTGATGGTTGAAATGGATGGTGATCAGCTGTCTCAAGAAGTGCTTTTAGAATGTTTTCAAATGGCACTGAACGAAAGTAAAAACATTGCTGACATGATAACGAAAATGGCTGAAGAGGATGGGAAAGCAAAATGGGAAGTGTGTATTAACTCATTTTTGTTACAGGTTGTATGTTATTCTTAAACTGTGTAATTAAAATTCATTTTCTTCACTGCTCTATATGTGAAATAATTTTAGGTAGAAGTTATTGAACCAGATGAAATGATGTGTGAAGAAATCACTAGCCTATGTAAAGAGCGGCTTTATTATATTCTAACCGATTCCAGGCATGATAAGTTTTCTCGTGACAAGAGTATTTCTGACTTAGAATTGGAAACGCTTGAATTACTAGAAGAGAAGTATGAAAGGAGTGAGATGCGGCAGTTTTATGCGTCGTTAGTTAAGAAAACTTTAAGGTGTTTTTCGCTTATTGCCTTCATTATCTTAGTGTTTTTCTGAATGTAATTGAAGTCTCGTTTCTTTAAAAAAAGAGATGCAAATTGTATTACGTTTTTTTTAAATTAAGGGAATGCGTTCTAAGCGACAAGTGGCACTTAAATTAAAAGGCTTTCTTCAGGGAGATAGTTCTTGAAACTAACATTCGTTGTGATGGCCGGAACTTGGATGATTTTCGTCCCGTCAATATTCGTGTGGATGTTTATAAAAAGTTGCATGGTTCAGCGCTTTTTCAGCGCGGTCAAACTCAGGTTGTTTTAGTTCTGCCTTTGGGAAAATCTATTCCCTTCTTTCTTTTATTTTTTACATTTCTTCTTGCTCATTACTAAAATTTTTTATTCTTTGAAGTGCAGTTGTTTTGCGCTATTTTGATTAGGAACCATTTGCTAAATTAATCATTTGGAGGTCTTTGGTACAGTGACGTTCGACTCCCCTTCCGCAGCATTTCATCCCGATTCTATTTCCCAGCTTCTTGGTTCTCAGAGGAAGAAGATGTTTATGCTGCACTACGAGTTTCCTCCATTTGCTACTAGTGAAATTGACACCTCGAGAGGAGCAAACAGAAGAGAACTGGGGCACGGAGCTCTTGCAGAAAAGGCTCTGAAACGTCTTATTCCGGAGCAGTTTCCGTATTCCATCCGGCTAGCTTGTCAAGTATATATTTTAATGCTGTTTTATTTTTGTGCATCAGTGCTAATTTTCAATAGCTCTTTAACGTATTTTTGTTTGTTCCAGAATTTACATGAGTCTTTAGGTGCTGGAGTCCAACGGTTCGTCCTCAATGGCATCAGTGTGTGCTGGTAGTTTAGCTTTGTTAGATGCTGGCGTGCCATTAAAGTCATCGGCTGGTGGGGTTGCTATTGGCATGATTTCTGATGAAAGTGGGGAGAAAAATAAAATTTTGACTGATTTACTTGGGATTGAAGATTACGCTGGTGACATGGATTTCAAAATTGCTGGTACGGTATTTTCATGTAGCTGAACTTTATGCAACTGTAACTAGCTTGTGGAAAACATCGAATAAAGTTTTTCTTAGTGACGTAGGTGTATACTGTAGACTTTTTTGGCATATGTGACTACTATGAGCGCTTCCCAAATTTTGAGCACTGATTTATCTAAAGCTGGTGTAAAGCTGCTCGAGTTTTCAAGTGCCTGCGCAGCTAGTGCAGTAGTAAAGATTCTACCGCCAACACCTGTTTTGGCTGTTAAAAATTTATTGATCTAAGAAAAAGCTGAAAATCAATTGTTTGCGAATTTTGCTATAGTTGGCCGAATTTGAACAACGGGGTATTTTTTACTTTTTTTATAAACAGCAGAGTGAAATTTGTTACTTTTGGTATTTCCTAATGTTAAATCACTTTGTTTTAGGTACCGCAAACGGTATCACAGCTATGCAAATGGACTTGAAGGTGCCAGGCATCTCTTTACAAATTTTAAAAGAAGCGCTTCTTAAAGGGCAACGAGGAATCGAGCATATGCTTACACTGATGGGCGAGGTTCAGAGCTCACCAAGAGTTGAGTTCAAAAGTTCTGTACCAGTTGTTGAAACTATGTCTTTGCCTTCTTTTAGACAACATATTCTCTTTCGAAGTGGAGGGTTCAATGCTAAGCTTATTGATGCCGAGACCGGAGTAAAGGTTTTTTTTTAAATCTTTTTGATGGGAGATAACTTTAGTCAGTGTCATATATTCATAATGAAAACTAGTCCCTTGAAGGACATGTGACGTATTTAAGTGCTAGGTGACTTGTTGGTTATTTTTTCGGCATTCGTTATGTATTTTTGACTTCACTTTTTTTGTTAGATGAGTATTGAAGACGAGTCAACCATTAGTCTCATGGCCCCCAACAAGGGTAAGCTGCAAGTGGCAAAGAAAATGATGGAAAAGTTTGTTTTTTTTACCTTTTAATCTCTTAGTATTAGAAAATGAATACATTGGCTGGTATTGCTTGAACCGTTGATTCTTTACTTTTTTAATGTAGTTCTTTGAATGTCTTCAAAAACCGATACATTACGTAAACGTGCACACTTTTTACATAATTTTTAGGTTGTTTGAAGAGGGTGTTGAAATTGAACTTGTATTCGGTGCGCTTTACAAAGGCGAAATTGTAGAAATTTTAGAGAATGGCGTTATGGTCAGACTTAAGAAGGGAATGAGGCCGATTTTCATGAGGAATAGGTATTTAAAAGATTTTGTTATACAATGAATAGAGCAGTTTTTTTCTGCAGATTATGGAGCTTCATAATTTTTTTTTTGCCTTTCTATTTGAAGGGAGTTGAGGGGTTTTTTTTTCAGCAATCTCGATGTTCGTCATGTGGCACATGCTAGTGCTTTGAACCTGGAGGTCGGCTCTATCATCACTGTCCAGTATTTAGGAAGAGACGCTCATACTGGTCAGCATCGCATTTGCCGAAAAACGCTACAGTCCACATCTATGCCAATGAAAAATCTCAATCGATGACTGCTGGGAGGAACTTATGTAAACTTGAGGTGTTTTCTTCTTTCGCATTAGCATTGTTTAGTCGTAGGACTCTTCCATAACACTAGTCCTCTAACTTACTTGTCATATACTTTTGTATTCTGCTAACAAAACTGAAACTGTGACTGTATAATAAAAATAATTTGCTTCAAGTTTTCGAATGTGACGAACAATGTCCGGCCTCATTTGCATAGGAGTGCTTTTGTAATTTTTCATTGATTCGTCTGGTCTTGTAACTCAATGAAACCTTTTGGTTTCAAGGTCATTCAAGTACTACTATTCGCTTTCTTGATTTTCATTTTACAGTTGTCTGTTGAACTGACCAAACGGGTATTGTTACAGAGATATTTAACAGTAATCACTTACTCTTCTTTCGTTTATCCTAATAAATTTATTCCGTCTGTTTGGTCTCAGCGATATTACGACTTAGTTACTAGCTGTTACTGTCGGCCTGTGTAACACGAAACCGTCGTACCAAACTGAATTTGTTTTTTTTAACTTACAGGAGTTATTAGGTTTCCTAGCATGTTTAAGATCTTTGCTGCAACACCCTTTGTATTCTTCTGTATTCCATACAAAAAAGGTGAGAAAGCACTGAAATCCGGTGTTTGGTACCCCATCTTGTTGTTTACAAAAGGTTTGCGGAAGCAAAGGCTGAGTTACGCTGAGATGATTATTTAATAGCTCACTATCAGTCAAGTGCGTTAATTGTTGATACAAGCTATGCCTGCGTCGTTGAGATTACTTGGACGTGAAGCTGCATGCAAGTTTTAGTAGGACTCAGATCTAAGTCTTGGAACTATGTCGTTCAAGCTTCACCGAACAACGCCCTGGGATCATCTCTCCTTTTTCCCTTCAGCCATAATACGGAGTTCTTTTCAACCCGGACAACTCATAGTCCTTCAGATGGAAGTGGAAAGCCGATTCAAAACGCTATGAATTGCACCCCAGATTTTTCAATATAACTGACTGATTGATACAAGACGGTGAGATAATCCTATAAATAAGTGTCAGTTCTTGAGTTCTCAAACGATTGCCAGGCAAGCAAACATGGACAGTGATAAATGCACAAGCGTTCAAATAAAAGAATTTTTTTTTTTTGCTCAAAAAGCTGATGAATCCACTTCCACTCTAAATGCCGTGTGTCCTCGCGGAATAAAAGTTAGTTTCTTCGTGGCGCCGTCTAGGTATTTGGGGAAGTGTTTCGATATTCTGTTATCGTAGGACTACCAAACTTCCCAATCCTTAAAATTTATGGAAGACGATGCAGAACGACTGGTCACTTTGTGCATCTCTCAAAGCGGTGACGATCGACGGAAAGAACAGTCATATCTCCAGGTCTAGAGTCACTCATTTTCTCAAATGATAGCATTCAACGGTTCGGTGCTATTACAGAAAGTTTTGAAGCTTGTATTAAAATTCAACTACATCTAAAGAATTTTTGAAGCTGTACTGGAGTCTCCCTCACAATCACTGGCTGGTAATCTCTTTATTTTGTCACCGTTGATGAAGATGCAAACTGAATTACAAAACTACAATCCTTTCACACTTTTAATGTGAATCTTCCTTAGTAACTAATCCATAAATATGAAACAGTTAAAGTAGCATTCTGCAACTCGTCACACTTGATTACAGTGAGAGAGTAACGGTTTTATTTATTGTTGTGGCATTTTTAAGTACTTTTTTATTGTAAAAAGGAATCGAAATAAGAGTTAAAACTATTTACAAACGCAGTCAGTATATACATATTTTCATTGAACAAAAAAAAAAAATAGAAATCTGTATTCAAAATTCAACCAGTAAAAACTATGTTGAAAATCAATCGTAAAAACAATATCTTTTAACTCGTACCCAATACATATATATATATATATATATACATATATATCCCTGCAAAAAACTGCAGCTCAGCAGAAAATGAAAAAGCTAAACTAAATGATTCCTTTTTGAATTACACTAAATCCACAGTTTTTCCGTTCTTCCCAATCAATCAACTAAAACTATAGGTGGAGGTACGAAAAATTTATTATCTTCATGAGCGATGGTGCCAGGGTTCCATGCATACTTTTCTTTTTTCTTTGTTTTAAAAACCTCATTTTTTTCTGTTGTGATTTTGATTTTCTAGAACGAATGATAACACAGCAAAACCGATAATGTTCGATGGTTAAGTTTTTCTTAATTACTTTTGGTACCCACCCTTCTTTGCATACTTCTAATCTTAGCTGTGTGAAAAGTACAGAAGAAGAAAACACGGCCCCTAGAAGTATGGCAGAAGAAGAAAAAAGTTCTTTTCCACCTAAAAAAGCATTACCCATTCATGCAAATTATTAGCCAGCAATAGAATACCTACTGAACTGCAGCCGCTGCTGTTTTTGGCTGTGACAACTGGAGATTTATTTTGTTCAAAATTTCAGCTGGTATGTGCTCGCGGAGGATCGCATTTTCGGCGTCTAACTGAAGAACCTATAAATTTTCTATACTTAATATCCAGTTTAAGTTGAGAAGATTGAAGATGAAAAAAATTCGCTAGAAACAACTACCAGATTGGTTAAATGTATCAAATCATATCAAACTCACTGTTGCCTCCAGCTCTAAAATTCTGCTACGAAGCGTTTCTACTTCTTCCCGAACCGCAAACATCAGATGTGTCTTGACCAAATCCTAAAATTGAATAAACTGCTACTGACAGTAATTTCAGCAAAAAATTGATACCACGAATCAGTGATCAGTAATTAAATAGCCACATTGACTTTGTTAGGCGATCTTTCATATAACAGGTAAGTGTTCAAAATAACATTTCGATTTCCAAATCGGTTTAAAAAATCACTTGTAAAAAATTCCTCCTACACTGAATCAAAATGGAAGAATAATCAAAGATTACAGTTTACTACATCGCTCTAAACCCACAACTGCTGCTCCAACTTAGAAATATTCTTGAAAAATAATAATCCAATAATCTCACCATTGCTTGCTCGATTTTACTGTCAATTGCAACAAACGATGCGTTACTGGTGGTTCCGGTTCCACTAACAAACCTTAAAATGCTTTAGTCTTAAAACAGGATACAATAAACAACTAACTACTACAAATTCCTAAAAATAAATGTGTTCTTGACCGCCCATCGCTTTCATAAATAGCATATCTATCTTTATTACCACACCAAATGCTTTTGAGAAGTCAACGAAGTCAAAGACGTCAACAACTTCCAATCAAAAACTTTTGATTGAGGAAAGTTGCATTTTCTATCAAAAAAACATCAAAATAAATTTCAATATCCTAAACAATAAAAATCAAAGAGAAGGCAGTGATTTAAAAAACTCAAATTGCAACTTCTAGGAAAACACTATCGCCTAAACAGCTATCGACGTTCGGTCCCCAATAGACCAATTAAAAGACAAAAAACCGATTTAAATCTACTGCTTGAATCCTAACCTACCTAATTCCACAATGAGCATTTCCCTACCGTCGAAGATGTTTCGACAAAAGGTTGCTAAATACTTTAAATAATGGCGCTCTAATTCAGCAAACTTACAGGATTAATTTAGTTCATCTCATACGACCAATTTCAATATTTCTAAGCAAGATGAACGGAAAGGTTTAAACTGTTCGAAGATTAAGGTGGCTTTATAAAACAACCTAAAATTTCAAGACATCAATTTTCAAAAAATTAAGGTTTAAAATAAATTTACCAATCTGCGTAAGTTTTTACTCGCCTAAAGCTAGTAACCAACAATTAAATCCAAGTACGGTAAATGTTTTGTAAAGATAGAACTCTTCAAACAAACTACCCTCAATTAGGAAAAAGTGCATAAATAACACCACAACGTGCAAGCAGGAATCGCCGTAGAAAGACTCAAAATAATTTTGGGCTCTAAAGAAGCCTTTGATAAAATGAAAACTTTCGCAGTATGAGTAAATAAACAAGTCATATTCACTCAGCAGTACGATCCAATGAGTGCATAAATAGCAGAGTTGCAATCTTTTCAGAAACTACTATGAAAATTCTGAAGGATAGAAACACGCTAAACACTTAGTTAAGCTTCCATTTCTTCCAGCAACTTAAGCCAACGAACATTTAAAAACAGGTTCTGCTTCCTTTCAAGTTAAAGGCAACATCAGCAGTGAAAAAGCGACACCGTCGGTACCAGTGACTTACTGCCAACATGTAAAAAGAGTGGATTAAGACGAACTTTTCCAGTCGATTCCTAGTTAAATTCCTTGTCGTATCTTGGGTGGCACCTCCTGGCAACAAATCTAAGATTGATTTATCACTGTGCGAAGTAGTGTTGAGTGACCTTTCAAGTCCGTAATTCAACATATCCGACGGTGTTATGCAACCATTATTTCTGACTAAAAAATACCTCTTAATTTTTCAAAATCAAAAATAACAATATTTTACTCAAAGAAGAAAGCAGATAGACAAATAAGC